ACTTTCTGGCTGGAGCAGGGATTTTTTTTTTTTTATTTATTATCTTTTAATTCTTATTATTATTATTATTATTTTTTCCCCTCTCCTTACTGGTCTTGCCCAAGGTGCAGCCAGGCAAGGGGAGCAGGGTCCCTGTGGCTCACTCTGTCCCCATTCTTGGGGCAATTTGGGGTTATTTTGCCATGGTGGTGAGGCAAAGCCAGGCTCCGGAGCCGAGTGCAGTGTGACCTGAGGAAGGGTGTGACTGTCTGGAGGCTCTGTAGGGCTTTTGCCCTGAGCCCAGTCCCCGCTGGAGGGGTTGTGTTCAAGACAAAGGCGTTGCAGCCCTTATCGTCGCATGTCTCTGTCCCCCGCAGTGGCCCTGTGTTCCCCACCACGCAGGTGCAGAGTGAGTCTGGAGAAAGAGATTCCAATAGGACAAAAGAGAAAAAGGTCCCAACAAAGCTACCCTGAGCTCCCCCTTTTCATCTCACCCCTGTTTTGGGTCTAATCTCCCCCCATGCTGGCTCCCAGAGCCCTGCACTTGCTGCGAGGCTTTGGCAAGGTGGTCTTCTCTCTTCTGCTTCTTCCCCTGCTTCTCTGACAGGGCAGGCTGGGGTGGTGGCAGGTCCATCCTCACATCCCCCCTCCAGCTCCTGGGCCTCCATGCTGAGCGTGTCAAACTTGTCAAGGCTCAGGACCGGGCTGGGGGTCTTGGGAACGCTGCAGTTGACGGTGAGCAGCTCCTCGGGCAGTGAGAGGGAGCTGCAGTCCCAGCAGGGAATGGCTGCACCGGTGTCCCCAGGCACGGGGCTGCTGCTGGGACCATCATGGCCCACCCCCAGCAGTGAGGCTGGGGATGTGGAAGACCTGGTGCCTGGAGCTACACTGAGATGGGGAAAAGGCCCTTGAGGGCACACGGGAAGGTCACGCAGTGCGACCTGGTGTGATTTCCTCCAGCCCTTGCTCAAGTAGCGCTGTCACGTCTTCTAGTCTCCAGGTTGGGAAACACACACCTTTGGATCCCCTCTGGAGGGGTCTGTGCCTCCCCCGGGGTCTGTGACACCCAGGAGGTGGTACCCACCACTGCCTGCTCCCTAAGAACAACGAGATTCAGCACAACATCTGAAAATGAGCTGCTGGGGCTGTTTGTGATCTACAGCACCACGGGCGGTGGGTGAGTACTTCCGCTCCTTGTTCTCAGCGGATCTGGCAGGACCAAGGCCATCTGATAAGAACAGGGGTGGGGAAAATCAGAACAGCTCCCGCAGGGAACTGAAGATCTCACCTGGCCTGTATCCTGTGAATGAAACAGGTTGCTCTCTGCTGGCAATGCACCTCTGGCTGCAAGACTGTGCAAGGCCATCTGCTGCGTCACCTGCAGCAGGGACTGATGCTGTGGGGACGTGAAGGCAACAGCGCTTCTAAAAACATAAAATTTTATTTCATTTCAGAGCATGGCTGAGCAACCCTGCTCCTCGACACGCGCTGTCCCAGCGCCTCCTCTTGACTCAGCGCCATGAGAACGGGCCTCATCAGCCTTATCTGTACGAATTTGCTTTGTGTTTGGGCAGGAAGGTGAAGCTGGTAGGTACAGGTCCCAGAAGCAGCTCACTGGAAGAAAGAAAAGAACAAAAGGCAAAATGAAACAAAACCCAAGGAGAGGTTTGTGTTCAGTACAAGAGCCACCGGTACCCAGCGATGGTGACTGCAGTCACAAGTGTCAAACAAGCCTTCACCCTCCTGAAAATTTAGAGCCACTGCACAAAACCCCTTTTGGAGCTGAACTTTAACTCTGAACCAAAGTCCTGGAGGAATGAAGCCACCAGGTGTGAGCAATGCCCTTGTTGCTGGGGAGTCACCGAGAGCTGATGCCAAAAATGGGTTCCTAAGGGTGGTGTCCTGAACAGCAGCTTCACTGCTGGCAGCACAGCCCTAAAATCAGCGTGAGCCTCTGAAACGCTCCTCCCAGCCTCTCGCTGTGCTTGTGCAGAGCCAAACCCGTGTTAGTGCCCCAAAGTATTAAGTTCAGATGCTAAACTGCTCTAACCCAGTTCTACCATGACCAGATTTATCCTAGCTTAAGGCTTCATCTATTTCATGCTTCGGAACACATCCCGTACTTTCAGAGCAGAGTAATTTTCTTTACAGTCAAGTAGGCTTAACTTATTTCCTGGATGCTCGGTCAATACAGCATCACTAAGACTTTTCACAAGACCTATTGGAGAGAGTATCCCGGTAGGGCACAGAATTGCATAGCAAAAGCCTGAATCTGCAGAATAAAAGCAGAAAGCGTGTGCTCAGAGAACTCTGCTTCTGGTTAATGTCACCTTAAAATGAGCTTTAATGAATGAATCTAAATAGCTTTTGAATTTTGAGGTTTCATGGCCGTGAACACCTGTTACATGGTGCTGTAAAGGTGAGACGTTACGAAGCTTTGTGCAGCCTCATGCTGGCACGTTCCCCTTGAAAAAAAACCAGAATTTGAAATTTCTGATTGAAACTTGAGGGACTTGTAACATAGTTTTAGGCAGCGGTTTCCAGGACTAACGAACGGGATGAGGATTAGCAAAACCAGAGAAGGCTGCAGCCACTGCTCTATTTTTGCTAATCTGTGTTTCCACAAGACAGGGCAACTGCAGCTGCTCCAGCTGTTTAGCTGGCTTTGAGCATGTGAAGTCATTTCAAGCCAGTGCCTGAGGACTCAGAAGGATGGGGAGGAAAAATTTCCTGCCCTTTGTTGCATAAACTCAGGAATCAGATAATGAAAAATGGGGAAAATGCTCATGGGGACGGGGACTGCCTTCCTGCCCAGAGTCTCTATGGTCCTGGCAGGGTGGAACCATCTGGGCAGAGCACAGAGGGATGTGCTGCTGAAAGCCTGAGATGTCTCAGCTCTGCGCTCTCCTCTCTTGGTTGCTATGACTGTCCCGGGGTGAACAGCGTGTCGTGAGAGAGGTCAGCTGCTCGAGATTTGCAGCGGGTACCGGATGACCCTCTGAAGCAGATGTGGGGATTGAGAGAGCTTTTTACGGCAGCTTCCAGCTCGGTTAAAACCTTGAAGCAAAGTGCTGCTTAACCCTTGCTGCTTGCTCACAACCTCTTAAACTGATGGGAAAGAGCCATCGCCCTCTCTCGGGGCAAGCACAGTGACTTTGTGAGGTTCTGCAATGTCCCTTCTTAGCAAATTTAAATGAAATTCAACGCTCCGTTACCTTATTTTAATCCAATCGTCCACGTTTTGGCTCGCCATCAGCGTCTCCAGATAGTCCCTCCCCATGTAGTAAGGTGGCCGCTCGTTAATTTTCTGAGGTAGGTGTTCCAATAAGCCGACTGGAATGTATCTGCAACAAAAGGTGATGGCAGTGCCTGCTGTTGTCCAGCCGTTACAGGCTCCCGCCCCCCCCCGCCCGGGGGGG